TGCCCAAGGAAAGATGAAAATAGTGCCCAAAATTATGTTACCCCAATTTTCTCGAATTCGCCTGGAGTTAGAAATTTTTGCCGATCGGTGACTAATAGTGAAATTTTATGGAGAATATTTTTTTCATTGACATCATCCCCCTAAAATGTTGTACAGTGGGTGAAATCGGCCCATTTCGAAATGTGTTAAAATAACAAAGTATCACTGACGTTGCAAATTTTAAAATTAAATTTTTCGCGATATCGATGCGGATTGGAGACTTCTTTTGGTGGGTGAATAATAGTGAAATTTTATGGAGAATATTTTATTAATTGACATCACTCCCCCAAAATGTAGTCCAATGGGTCAAAATCGGGCCATTTCGAAAAGTGTTAAAATACCAAAGTAGCAATAACGGAGCAAATTTTAGAAATTGAATTTTTCGTCATATCGATGCGGATTGGAGACCTCTTTTGGTCGGTGACTAATAGTGAAATTTTATGGAGAATATTTTTTTCATTGACATCATTCCCCAAAAATGTAGTCCAGTGCGTCAAAATCGGGCCATTTCAAAAAGTGTTAAAATAACAAAGTATCACTAAAGATTCAAATTTTAAAATTATTTTTTTCGCGATATCGATGCGGATTAGAAACTTTTTTTGGTGGGTGGCTAATAGTGAAATTTTATGCAGAATATTTTTTTAATTAACATCACTCCCCTAAAATGTAGTCCAAAGGGTGAAAATCTGGCCATTTCGAAAAGTGTTAAAATACCAAAGTAGCAATAACGGAGCAAATTTTAGAAATTGAATTTTTCGCCATATCGATGCGCGTTGGAGACTTCTTTTTTATGGAGAATATTTTTTTCATTGGCATCACTCCTCATAAATGTAGTCCAATGGGTCAAATTGGGTCATTTCGAAAAGATGTGTAAGTGCCAAAGTAGCTGTGATGAAGTAAATTTTGAAAATCATTTTTTCGCATATCGATGCGAATTGGAGACTTCTTTTGTTCGGTAACTTATAATGAAATTTTATGTAGAATATATTTCTCATTGGCATCACTTCCCTAAAATGTATTCGTGTGGGTCAAATTGACTCATTTCAAAAAGATGTGTAAGTGCCAAAAGAAGCTGTGATGAAGCTATATTTGTTGACGATTTGTTCACGATATCGGATGGCAATAGAACTTTCCGCTGTTAAGTGAGTTATAGTGAAATTTGATATGATTATTTTACTCTTTGGTATTACATGCCTAAAATGTAGGCGTGGGGCAAAAGGGGCCATATCGAAAAGTGTATGAAAATACCAAAGAAAAATTAGTGAAGTAAATTTAATTATCCATATTTTTGCGATATTGTCTCATGTTAGAAATTTCTTTTGGTCGGTGACTTATTGTGAAATTTTGTGGAGAATATTTTCTCCATTGATATTACCCCCCAAATCGGCTAATTTCGAAAACATGTTTAAAAATTAATGTAAATACTTTTTTTGTTTTATAAATTAAACTACAAAAAATGGTTTTTTTTTTATTTTTTTACAATATATATTTTTCCAGTGTTTTTTATTAATAACTAATTTCAGTTTGTTGTTTTATTTATTTTTAATAATAATATTTTTTTGCTTATTTCTTTTTTAGATTTTAGTTTGTTAATTTATTTTAATTTGTTTTTGTTGCTTAAAGATTGTGTTTTTGTTTTTTATTTTTTAATTCACTTAGATAATACATTATTTCATATTAATAATTTGCCATTAAAAACTAAAGATTATTTTTTGTTTTTATTAAATATTTTTTATTCACATATTACATTTAATTATTTAAAGTGGGGTTCTGTCATTAATTTTTTTTCTTCTTTTAGATAAAGTATTTTTAATAATTTTTATTTTAATCTGTTTTTATTTTTATTTTTTTTTTTTTTTGTAAAATTATTTTTTTTTGCAAAGCTTATTTATACGTGTCTAGGTGTGGGTGTAAGAGTGTGGGGATAATTGTTTAACAGATTTTTGTATAATATTTTAAATAAAACAAAATTGGGAAACATTTTGAATTTAAGTTTATTGAAATATGTGTTTTATATAAATTTAAATTACAATCATGAAAATAGTCCGAGATAATATACAACAAATATAAAAAGAAAAAATAAACAACAAAATAAAATAATAATACTTCAAAAAAATTGTTAACATTTTATTTATTTTTTGTTATTGTTTTGTTTCGAAAAAAAATAGCAAACAAATCAAATCCCTTATTTTTTTAATTTTTTACGTGTATATGATGCCATTGTTGTTGTTAACTTTATATAAATAAATAAATTTAAATATAAAGCTAAATAGAAAAAAAACTATTCTTTGGCCAATATATCACAGTTAAATATATAAATGGATTTGATTTATTTGTATTTAGAAACAAAAATTTTGTGTTCATGGTAAAATTTTCTAAACATTTTTAATATCTACAGATTTGATTTGCAGGCCGACCCTATGTGGAATTTAATGTCAGCATCTAAAACAACGTTTAGTGGCTAAAAAACCAATAAACAAATTTGCTACATCATTGTCCCTTTGGATTTTACACACACAATTTCGAAATAAGTCAATTTGACCCACAGTACTACATTTTAGGAGATCGATGTCAATGAAAAAATGTCCCCAATAAAATTTCACCATAAGTCACTGATCAGAAGAAACTTCGATCATCAGTCGATATATGATTTTTGGATTTTACACACACAATTTCGGTTTAAGCCATTTTGACCAACTCCACTACATTTTAGGAGATCGATGCCAATGAATAAAATGTTCTCCGTCAAAATTCACTATGGGTCACTGACCAGGAGAAATTTCTAGCTTCAGTCGATATAGGTAAAAAAGCAATTAACAAATTTCCTACATCATTATTCTTCTGGAGTTAAAACATATTTTTCAAATTCGTCATTTTAACCCCCTCCACTACATTTTAGGAGATCGATGTCAATGAAAAAAATGTTCTCCATAAAATTTCAATATGGGTCACTGACCAAAAGAAAATTCTAACTTCAGTCGATATAGCGAAAATTTCATTAACAAAATTTAGTACATCACTTTTCTTTGGCTATTTATACATATTTTCGAAATTAGCCATTTTAACCCCCTCCACTACGTTTTAGGGGTATGATGTCAATGAGAAAAATATTCCCCATAACATTTCACTATGGGTCACTGTCCAGAAGAAATTTCTAACTACAGTCAATATATCAAAAATATCAATAAACAAATTTACTAAATCACTACACCTTTTGTCACTAACACATATTTTTAAAATGGGTGATTTCGACCCCATGTATTACATTTTAGGGGGGTAATGTCAATGAGAAAAATATTCTCCATAAAATTTCACTATAGGTCACTGACCAGAAGGAACTTCTAACATCAATCGATATAGCAAAAATATCAATTCTTCGGGTATTTAGCCATATTTTCTAAATTCGCCATTTTGACCTCCTCCACTACGTTTTATGGGAGTGTTGTCAATGAGAAAAAGGTTCTTCATAAAATTTCACTATGGGTCAGTGACCAAAAGAAAATTCTAACTTCAATCGATATAGCAAAAATATTGTTTATTGATATTTTTGCTATATCGATTGAAGTTAGAATTTGCTTCATTACTATTCTTCGGGTATTTATACACATTTTCCAAATTCGTCATTTTGACCCCCTGCACTACGTTTTAGAGGCATGATGTCAGTGAGAAAAATATTCTCCATAAAATGTCACTATGGGTCACTGACCAAAAGAAATATCCAACGTCAGCCGTTATCACAAAAAAGGGGACCCCACGAAGCAAAAAAAAAAAATCTGTAGATAAAAAAAATCATAATTTAATAAAAAAAATTATCCATATGTAAATTAATAGAAAATACACATTTATTGCAATTTTGGGAATTTCTAGAATAAACTAAATTAATTTAAAAGAACTAATTATTATCCCTCACATAGTATAACGTTGGAACTTACAAATGAGTTATTATTTATATTAGGTGTAATGTGTATGTGTTTTTTTTTTCATCTATGATTTAAAGTGCCTATATTCAACACTAAGAAAAATAAAACCGAAAAAGGCAAAATACTAATGATATTAATAATAATGAAATAGTCTTAAAAATAAATAATTTTTGTTTTTTGTTTTCTTATTTAAATTAATGAGAATGACAACTTAAATTTAGCAGTAAACTGAAAAAATGTATATTATTTGATTTTTGTTTTTTTAGTTATATATTAATTTAATATTATTTTTTGTTTTTAGTTTAGTTTTGATAATAATAATATTTTTATTTATTTTCGTTTCTTGTTTAGATTCATAAGGAAAAGGCAGTTCAGATACATAAAAAATTTGTTTGTTGTTGTTCAATATATATTTTTTTCATAGAATTTAATCTCGATTATTATTATATAAAATTGTTAGTTTTATGAACATTTAGTGGAATAAAATAATTTGCATAATTCTCCATATTGAGCATGTCCCGTAAATTTGACTATTCAAAGGCAAATTTACGGGACATGCAAAATCGTTTATTTGCAAATTGCATTATTGAGAGTGGGAGGGTGGGAGTTAGGGAAGAAGGGGGAGAGTTAGTTATGGTCTTTTATTTTTGTTTTCTTTGTGTTGTTCTTTCGTTTTTAGCTGCCGCTCACTGTGCACGTAAAGAGAAATGTGGGTGAGTGTTTTTTTTTATATATATATAATTTTTTTTTTTTCAATACAAATATCAATTAATTAATTTCTTTCAACTAACAATTTGTTTCCACAATACAATTTGAAATAATATTGGTTTTATGATTCTTCTTCTTTTTTACAAATTATTTTTAATAAATTCTTTAACTTCTTTGAGTTTTCTTCTGCTTGTCTAGCTTTCAAAATAGTTTTTTTTCATGTTTGTTTTCTGGCTTATTTGAATAATGCTGTTGTTGTTTTTTGTTGTTGTTGTAGTGATTTGCTTACCATTTATTTATATAAATTGGTAATATAAATATTTTTTGAATCGCTCGTACTACTACTATCCATTCCCAATCATACAACAGAGTCTTTGCGTATCCTGAAAGTAAAGGCAGAAAATTAAAAAAATAATTAAATCAGCGTAAAAACATTCTCCATAAAATTTCACTATTGGCCACTGACCACAAGAAACTTCTAACTTCAGTCGATATCGCGAAAATATCAACTTTAAAATTTGCTACATCCCTGTTCTTTTGGTATTTAAACATATTTTCCAAATGGGCTATTTTGACCCACTGTGGTGTCAATTGAGGGGAGTGGTGTCAATGGAAAAAATATTATCCACAAAATTTCACTATAAGTCACTGACCAGAAGAAACTTCTAACATCAGTCGGAATCGATAAAATCTTAATAAACAAATTTGCTTCATCGCTATAACATAAAGAATCTACACATATTTTCGAAATGGGCCATTTTGACCCTCTGCACTATATTTTAGGAATGTGATGTCAATGTATAAAATATTCCCCATAAAATTTCACTGTGAGTCACTGACCAGAAGAAACTTCTAACATCAGTCGGAATCGAGAAAATATCAACAACAAAATTTGCTACATCACTGTAACATAGTCATTTTACACATATTTTCCAAAGGGGTCAATTTGACCCTCAGGCCTGCATTATAGGGGAAGAATGTCAAAGAGGGATATATTCTTCATAAAATTTCACTTCAAGTCACTGACCAGAAGAAACTTCTAACATAAGTCGGAATCGAGGAAATATCAATTTAAAAATTTGCCATATCCCTGTTCTTTTGGTATTTAAACATATTTTCCAAATAGGATATTTTGACCCACGGTACTATATTTTTGGAGAGTGGTGTTAATGGAAAAAATATTCTCCACAACATTTCACTATGGGTCACTGATTAAGAGAAAATTCTAACTTCAGTCGATATAGCAAAAATATCAATAAACAAATTTGCTACATCACTGTTCATGGGGTATTTAGACACATTTTCCAAATTCGCCATTTTAAACTACACTACGTTTTAGGGGAGTGATGTCAATGAATAAAATGTTCTCCATAAAATTACACTATAAGTCGCTGACCAGGAGAAACTTCTAACATCAGTCGGAATCGATAAAATCTCAATAAACAAATTTGCTTCATCGCTGTAACATTTGGTATTTACAGATATTTTCGAAATGGGTCATTTTGACCCTCTGCACCACATTTTAGGAGAAAGATATCCATGGAAAAAATATTCTCCACAAAATTTCACTATGAGTCACTGACCAGAAGAAACTTCTAACTTCTGTCGGTATTACGAAAATATCAATTTCAAAATTTGCTATATTACTGGTATATTGTATTTACAATTTTTTTTTTGAAATGAGTAGCTTAGACCCACTGCACTACATTTTAGGGGGGCAATGCCAATGAAATAAATGTTCTCCATAAAATTTCACTATAGATTACTGACCAGAAGAAAACTTTAACTTCAATCGATATCGCGAAAATATCAATAAAGAAATTAGCTTTTTGCAATATTTTTTGATACCTAGATATCTTTTCGAAATGGGCCATTTTGAACCACTCTTCGACATTTTAGAGGATTGTTGTAAATGGGAAAAACATTCTCCATAAAATTTCATCTTGAGTCACTGACCAGAAGAAACTTCTAAATTCACTCGATACAGCAAAAATATCAAAACAAATTAAATTTGCTATATCACTGGTTCCTTTGGCATCTATTTTTCCTCATGGGCTATCCATCTATATTCGTAGATTTTTGTTTTTACTATTTTTTCACCTACCACATATAATTTTCAGTTTGTGGTGCTCTCATGACACCAACACCACCGCCCAAACGGCGATAATTCATGCAGCCACATAGGCGCCATTGATTTGTCTCTGTATCGTAAACTTCAATGGTTTTCAAATAGGCGGAACCATCAAAACCGCCAACAGCATATAGTTGACCATTGACGACGGCTAAGCCGACCTGAAAATATGAGGTAAAAATTATTCAAAAAAATTAAAGTAATTTTTTGAGATGCTGTACTTACACCACTGCGTCGCGATGTCATTGCCACAATTGGACTCCATGTATTCGTGTGGGGATTATAACGTTCGGCCGATGACAATTCCATGCAATCATCACGGCCACCAACGGCATAAATGTAATTATTGAAAACGGCACAGCCTAAATGTTTGCGACGTGTTGACATGGGACTGACAGCAACCCATTTGTTTTGTCTGCAACAAAAAAAAAAGAAAAAAAAAAAAACAATTTTTAGTATAAATATTTAAATACAAATAGAATATAATCTCAAAATTTTTTTCTTCATCTCGGGTCATAACTTCTAACTTCAGTCTATATCACGAAAAATCACGAAAACCAAATAAATCTACTTCATCACAGTATCCTTTGGTATATTCACATATTTTCGAAATGACCCACTTTTGACCCACTGTACTAAATTTTAGAGCATAGATGTCAATGGAAAAAATATTCTCCACAAAATTTCACAAAAGGTCATTGAACAGAAGAATTTTCTATCAACAGCCGATATCGCTAAAATATCTATAACAAAATTTTCTACGTTAAGGTTCCTTTGGTATTTACTTATATTTTCCAAATGGGACATATGACCCTCAATCCTGCATTTTACGAGATTGATGCCAATGAAAAAAAATATTCTCCACAAAATTTCACTATAGGACACTGACCAAAAGAAACTTCTGACTTCAGTCGGAATCGAGATAATATGAAAAAAAAATTTGCTACATCACTGCACCCTTGTCATTTATAGCATTTTCCAAAAGGATCACTTTGACCCCCTGTCCTGCATTTTAGGTGAAGGATGTCAAAGAGGCATATATTCTCCATAAAATTTCCCTATAGGTCACTGACCAAAAGAAACTTCTGACTTCAGTCGGAATCGAGAAAATATCATAAACAAAATTTGCTACATCACAGTAACCTTGTCATTTATACATATATTCCAAATGGTTCACTTTGATCCTCAATACTGCATTTTAGGGGATTGATGCCAATGGAAAAAATGTTCTCCATAAAAGTTCACTATAGGTCACTGACCAAAAGAAACTTCTGACTTCAGTCGAAAACGAGATAATATCAAAAACAAAGTTTGCTACATCACTGCACCCTTGTCATTTATAGCATTTTCCAAAAGGGTCACTTTGACCCCCAGTCCTGCATTTTAGGGGACGGAGGTCAAAGAGGCATATATGCTCCACAAAATTACACTATTAGTCACTGACCAAAAGAACTTTCTATCATCACCCGATATTACGAAAATAACATTTTCAAAATTTGCTACATCTCTGCACCCTTGTCATTTACACATATTTTCCAAATGTGCCATTTTGACCCACTGCACTATATTTTAGGCGATTGATGTCAATGAAAAAAATATTCTCCACAAAATTTCACTAGAGGTCACTGACCAAAACAAGTCCCTAATACGCATAGATAATGCGAAAAAAAAATAGTTTCAAAATTTGCTTCATCGCAGCTCCTTTGGCACTTACACATCTTTTCGAAATGGCCCGATTTGGCCCATTGCACTACACTTTAGAGGATTGATGTCAATGGAAAAAATATTCTCCACAAAATTTCACTATAGGTGATTGACCAAAGGAAACATCTAACTTCAGTGGGTATCATGAAAATATGAACAAACAAATATGCCGTATCAAAATATCCTACACACATTTTCCAAAGAAGCCATATAATTATTTTGAATACAAATAAATCGAACTTAAAAATACAGTTTTTTTGTCTTTACCTTGGATCATAACGTTCAACGGTATTCAAAGGACACTGGCCATCCGAACCACCAATGGCATATAAATAACCACCTAAAACGGCAACAGCAACGCCCAAACGGCGTGTAGTCATGGGAGCCACCTGAATAGAAAAAAAAAACAAAAATAAAAAATTAAAAAAATCTAACAATTTGAAACCCATCCTCCCCCGCATTACCTTCGACCATTTATTCTCTTTGGGATCATAACGTTCAACATGATTCAAACACTGTACACCATCTTGTCCACCGACAGCATATAGGAAACCATCGAGTACGGCCACACCAACACTGGTGCGACACGATGTGGTCGGTGCCACATCACATGACCATTGATTCGTTTGTGGATCATACCGTTCAATGCTATTCAAATAACTTTGCCCATCATGGCCACCGACGGCATAGAGCAAATCATTGAGTACGGCAACACCAACACCACAACGTCTCTTACTCATGGGTGCCACCATTTTCCAGTCATTTGTTTGAGGATCAAAACGTTCCACCGAGGCTATGGCATCGCCAGAACACCAACCGCCAACGGCAAAGAGAACTTCGCCACGGCGGGTGGGTTTACGGGGACGGGTACGTGGTCCCTGCATTAGGGGACGTTCTTGTGGAAGCAGGAGATAATTTTTGGCCTCGTCGACTAAATCACGGCAAGCCTCGTCGGAGCGGACCAGCAGGTCAGAGCCAACGGTACCGACCAGAAATTTCGGTGACAATAATGGAAGACGGACATGTTGTAGGACCTACCAACAGAAGCAGAAAAAGATGCGCTTAATAAAATTCAGAAGTTTAGATTTTTAATATCGGATACCCACCTGAGCTAAATGTTGTCTCCGATCGGCAATATTATATTTAAGCCATGACATAACGGCATTAAATACCTGCTCCTCCGATCGCACATTCAATTCATCGCTGCATATAATATCGACCAATTGCCCCACGGGCAACAATAGGAATTCTTCACTCTCCATGACCTCTTGAAAATTATGCTGTGTGAATTTATCGGCAATGCGCAACAGTTCACGACACGAATGTGTATCGGCAAAGGCTCGTATACCCAAACAATTTGTCGGATCCAATTGTCGTTTCAAAAATTCACAGCATATATCCTGAATTTCGACTAGCTGTAGCAAACAAGCTGCCGGCAGCAATGTCTGAACATTCGATTCTTCGACAACAATATGGGCGGTATAACAGAAATCGATCAGTAGTTCCATGGCATTTTCGTCGATATCACGTATTGTGACTTCAGTTTGTCGAGATTCCTCTAATTCGCCGGTGAACATGGCACGAAAATATGGTGAACATGCCGACAATATAACACGATGGGCAAATATTTTCCGGCCACCAACATTGAGGACAACATCGCAAAGTTCACGATGCCGCCGCAGCATATTCAATTCGGATAGGGTAACCTTGGGGTGTTTGTCGGAGGTGTGGGCCATACGAGCCGGTGATTGTGGACGATCAACGCCACCAGCACCGGCTGTAGCGCCCGCACCGCCATTAGCACCCGGCAACAACGGGTCACCCATACGATTCGCTGCTAAGCGCAGCGGGGCAGATGCCCAACCCCACACCGCGTCTATCTGGAAATAGAACAAAAAAAAATGGAAGTGATTAAAATAAGTTAAAAAATAATTCTCAAAACACTCTAAAAGTATGAAAATCGAAGGGTACCGCTATATGGGTGCTATATGTAAAATTGGACCGATTTCGATAATTTTTTGTAAGGAGCTCCGCTACTCAATAAGAACCCAAACTAGGAAATTACCGACATTTTTGGGGGGAAATGTGTTCAAGATCGTTAAAATAACGAAAATCGGAGGGTACTTTCTATGGAACTAAAACTGGATCAATTTTTATAATTTTTGGTATGAAGCTTCGGTACCCAACAAAAACCCAAAACATGAAATTACAACCTTTTTGGTTGGAAAACTACTTTTAAATCCTCAAAGCGAAAATCGGAGGGTGCAATAAATGGGGACTATATCTAAAAGTTTACCAATTTTTATAATTTCTGATATGGGGCTTTGTTACACAATGCGAACCCAAAATATAAAATTACAACCAATTTGGTTAGAAAATGAATATAAAATCCTCAAAATACCTATAATCGGAGGGTTTGATATGTTGGGACTATAATTAAAAGTGGATGAATTTTTATAATTTTTGGTATGGAACTTTGTTACACAACGCGAACCCAAAATATGAAATTACAACCAATTCGGTTGAAAAATGTGTTCAAGATGCTCAAAATAACGAAAATCGGAGGGTACTTTCTATGGAGGACATAACTAAAACTGGATCAATTTTTATAATTTTTGGTATTGAGCTTTGTAACACAATGCGAACCCAAAATATGAAATTACAACCAATTCGTTTGAAAATCATGTCGAAAATATCGATAATTGAGGTTAAGGTAATATGGGAGCTATACCTAAAAGTTGACCCAATTTTATAATTTTTGGTAGGGAGCTTGGCAACTCAATGCGGGCGCAAAATATGAAATTACAACCAATTTGCTTGAAAAATGTGTTCAAGATCCTCAAAATACTGAAAATCGGAAGATAGTTTCTATGGAGGCCATCCTTAAAAGTGGATCGAAATGTATACATTTTGATGTGGAACCTCGCGACTCAATGAGTAACCAAAATATGAAATTACAGTCAATTTGGTTGCAAAATCCGTTCAAAATATCGAAAATTGAGGTTAAGGTAATATGGGAGCTATACCTAAAAGTGGACCAATATTGATAATTTTTTGTATGGAGCTTCGCTACTCAATGAGAACCTAAAATAAAAAATTACAGACAATTTGATTGGAAAACTTGGTAAAAAAAATCCATAAATAATGAAAATCGGATGGTAGCTTTCTATGGAGACCATACCTAAAAATGGATCAATTTTTATAATTTTTGATATGGAGCTTTGTAACTCAATGCGAATCCAAAATATGAAATTACAGTTCATTCGATTGAGAATCATGTCGAAAATATCGAAAATTGGGTTTAACGTTATATGGGAGCTATAACTAAAAATGTTCCGATATCGAATAAATTTGGTAGGGAGATTTTTGGCACAAGAAGAATGGAATATACCGAATTACTGCCAACTCGATCGGAAAACTTCATCAAAAACCTTAAAATATCATAATTCGGTGGGGTACCTTTACATGGGGGCTATATCTGAGAGTGGACGAATATTGAAAATTTTTGCTAAGGAGATGTACTTCCCAATGAGAATCCAACATATGAAATTTCATTCAAATTTGATTGGAAAATGTGATCAAAATCCTCAATATTTCTAAATTTTGAGGTTATTTTTATATGGGGGCTATAACTAAAGGTGGACGATATTGATCATTTTTGGTATAGGGCTTCCCCATTCAATGATAACTCAAAATATCAAATTACGGTTTGGAAAATGTGTCCAAAATTTTTAAAATACTGAAGATCGGAAGGTTCGATGGTCCGTATAGACACCTCAAGTCTTTATAGAGATCAGTTCGGCCTTTATAGTCTTTATAGGGACCTTACAAAGGAGGTTTATTATTATTATTTTTTTTTTATTTTATGCTCCCCACCACTCCGTCTCTTTTTTTCCTTCTTTGCCTCTTCAGTTTATTTTAAGATTGAAAAAAAAAAACATCAACATAATCACGTGCATCGAAGCTATTTGTGTGTTCGATCCATAAGGGTGGCGGTTGTTGATCTTCCACATACAATCATCATCAGTCAGTCTAGCAGAGAAAATTGTAACGTTTTAAAATGTTTTTGTGTGGCCAGCAACAAAAAAAACCCAATTTTCTTCAATCTAAAAATATAAAACAACAACAACACAAATTTGATTGTTGGCCAACAAAAGTAACAACAAATTGTCTATGGTAGAATGAAGGCATAGAGGAAGATCAGAACGGATTAAAAAAAAAAAAACATATTGAAAAATTTCGTTACATGTTGCACAAATCTTACGAAAATTGTTAATATGTTGCAATTTTATTCAAATATTCAAATTCAATTTATTTCGGGATTTTTCGATTTTTTCGTTCGATTCTGTAATTTTATTTGCTAATGAAGCCTTTAAAGATGTTTGTATATTGAAATTTTTTGTCAATAACACACATTAGCAATGAAAATTTGCAAAATCCATATTTTTTCAGGTGTGGTGAGTTTTTTGAGAAATTCACCACACCTCAAAAAATGTTGCAAACGAAATATAGAACAAAAAAATATGTCTTGGTTCTCCTAGCTGGCAAATACCCATAAAAATCTCACCAATTATCTCATTATTGATTTCACAAAATAATTATTAATTTCATTACATTGCTAATAAAGAAATTATGCAAAATCCATGATTTTTCAGGTGTGGTGATTTTTTTGAGAAATTCAAAATGTTACAAAATGCTGAAAAAAATCTATACAACAAGAAAAAAATTAATTGCATTTTCCACATTACAAAACCGCACAAAATTATTTTAATTTTCGTTACTGATTCCACAAAATAATGTTTAATTTCATTGCATTGCTAATAAAGAAAATATGCAAAATATACATATATATTTTCAGGTGTGGTGAGTTTTTTGAGAAATTCACCACACCTTAAAAAATGTTCCAAACGAGAGATAATAAGTTGTGAACAAAAAAAAATATGTCTTGAATTTTTCAGGTGTCAAAACCCCACAAAAAAGCTCTCCAATTATCTCAATATTGATTCCACAAAATAATTAATAATTTCATTGCATTGCTAATAAACAAATTATGCAAAATCCATAATTTTTTAGGTGTGGTGAAAACATTTTCCATTCGAATTAGCTCAAATTTGATATATTTTGTGTTCATCGGGTAGTAAATCTCCCTACCAAAAATGATCAATATTGGTCCCTATTTAGGTATAGCTCCCATATAAAATATCCTCCAAATTTTCGATATTCAGAGGATTATCTGGTAGTATATAAAAATATCGTGTATAAAGCTACCCTCAAATTTCGATATTTTGTGGATATTGGGCAGTTTTCCAACCAAATTGGCTGTAATTTCATATGTTGTGTACATATCGAGTAGTGAATCTCCCTAACAATAATTATGGATATTGGTCAACATTTGGGTATAGCCTCCATTTTCCAAATTTTGAGAAATTCAAATTGATTTCCCAATCGAATTAGCTATAATTTGTTATTTTTTCTTCTCATCTGGTAGTATATAAAAATATCGGTTCACGTTTTGGTCTAGGCTCCATATAAAGCTACCCTCAAATTTCGATATTTTGTGGATATTGGGCACGTTTTTGAAACGAATATGTTGTAATTTGTTATATTGGGTTCTCATTGGGTGACGAAACTCCCTACCAAAAATTATCAGTATCGATTCACGTTTTGGTATAGCTTCCATATAAGAGTACCCTCAATACTCGATATTTTAGGGATTGTATGCACATTTTTCAACCGAATGGTTTCAAATTTGATATTTTGGATTCGCATTAGGTGAAAAATCCTACCAAAAATTATCAATATCGGTCCACTATACCATATAAAATATGCTCCAAAATTTCGATATTTTGATGATTTTGCGAAAGTTTCCAACCAATTTGGCTGTAATTAAATATTTTGGCTTCTTATCGGTTAGTACATCTACCTACCAAAAATTATAAATATTGGTTTTCATTTAGGTGTAGTCCCTATGTAAATGTATCCGAAATTTTAAGGATTTTGAAGACATTTTCCACTCGAATTGTCTGTAATTTCATATTTTGTTTTCTCATGGGTAGTACATCTCCCTACCAAAAATGATCAATATTGGTCCACATTTACGTGTAGATCCCATATAAAACGTCCTCCAAATTTTCGATACTTTGAGGATTTTGAACACATTTTCCATTGGATTGACTGTAATTTCATAGGTTGGGTTCTCACAGAATAGTACACCTCCCTACCAAAAATGATCAATATTGGTCCACATTTAGGTATAGCTACACGTAAGCTCCCATATAAAACGTCCTCCAAATTTTCGATACTTTGAGGATTTTGAACACATTTTCCATTGGAATTGACTGTAATTTCACAAGTTGGGTTCTCACAGAAGAGTACACCTCCCTACCAAAAATGATCAATATTGGTCCACATTTAGGTATAACCTCCTTGTAAAGGTAAACCAAATTTCCAGATTTTCTTCTTTTTGAATACGTTGTCTTCTCATCGATTAGCACAGCTCCCTGCCAAAAATTATAAAAATCGGTCCTCATTTAGGTGTTGCCCCTATGTAAAGGTATCCGAAAATTTTCTGAATTTTGAACGCCGTTTTCCATTCGAATTGACTGTAATTTGATATTTTGACTTCTCATTGGGTAGTACAACTCCCTACCAAAAATTATCAACTTTTCGTTCGAACTTTAGCTATAGGCCTCATATAATCGAACCCTTCTTTTTCAGAATTGCAAGGGGGTTTTATCCATTTCCAACTATAATTTGTTTACAGGAACACACCCTATATGAAATTATTTCAGTAAGGAGTGGTAAGGACCCTTTCTCGAAACAAAATAAAAAAGAACACATGTTTTTGTTGCGGGACAAATGAAGTTATTAACCTTGATATAATCACAGCACATACGTACATATATACAGTATTATATCCATCCCATGCCCACATTCATTATTTGCCCTTCCCTGACCTAATTGGCAGCACAGGCAGCAGCAACAACAACTTAAGACATAAACACAACCACCTATAACAACAATAACTAAAAAACGGAAAAAAATAAACAAATAAAAGGTATTGTGGGGTGATAAGGGAATCATGCAAAGACAAGACAATAAATAAATAAAACGGAAGAGGAAACTATAATGCATCCTCCAAATAGAGGCCATCATATAATTGATTCCGAAAGACCCACTGAATAGACAGGCACCTGGCCACCAATTGAATGGAATGTAGTAATATCGACCCTTCATTACACATTTCGAAACCAAAAAAAAAAAACAATTCCGAAGATAGACTGACAACAAAGTGGTTAGTTGGCCTGCACACACACTCGCGCGATATCATGTAATGATGATTTTCCTATTCTATATTTATTAAGCAGAATGAATATATGTTTAGTTCTGTTTTTCTTTTTTAAGATACCTTTGCGTCTTTCTGGGCCACTGAAAAATCAAATTCACAACACCACAAGCCACAAAGCCACCAAAATCCCGTTCTATTTGCTGGAATACTGGCAGCGAATTCACAAAAACACTTGCAGCACACAGAGATATTTAACCGACCGACCGAACGCGACCACAACAACAACGATGGCAAATAAGAACTCGTTGCTCTTTTTGGAAAATAATTTTCACAATTTCCAGCACAATTAATTGGAAAATTATTAAATTCATAGGGCTCGACACACACAGAATATGTAAAAAAGGGAGAAAAATGTAAATATCTACATGGAACTGAGATGGAATGAAGGAATAGGTAATAAGAATTAGGGCTATGTACGACGATTTTGGTACTAATCGTTGTGTTTCGATTAACGAACTATAGATACCTTGAATGATGGTTTGATGAGATGAGAAAGAACAATTCCCTGATGATTGATAGCACAATGTGTGAAGAAAATTATCATCGATAAAGGCTATAAAAATATATAAAATAATAATAATAAATTAATAATATTTAAAGAATTAAAAGATATATAAAAAATTAAAAATAAAATTAAGAATATTCAAAAAATTTAACTTGTATTTAAAAAAAATAATTTAAAAAACGTATCAAAATAAAAAATATAAAAAATAGGATATTTATAAACAAAAATATATGAAATAAAAATTATAAAAAAAATAATAAAAATATAAAAAATAAAAATATATAAAAAATATATTCAGAAAAATATGAAATTAAAAACTAAAGAAATTTAAATTATAATAATAAAATCAAAATATATAAAAATAAAAATTATATAAAAATTTTTGGTATTTCGAAAAAATTTTCAGACTCTTTCGAACAAAATTGACTGTAATTTGTTATTATAGGTTCTCATTGGGTAGTAAATGTTACCACCCAAAAATAAAAATAATTTTTCACCTACCGATTTTCAATATTTTGTGACTTTTGAATATTTTTTCCAAACGTTTGGCTATAACTTCATATTTTGGAGTCTCGTTAGTTGAAAAATCTCCATACCAAAAATTATGAATATCGGCCCACATTTAGGTAGACCTTCCACATAACGATATCTTCCGATTTGTGGTATTCGGAGGACTTTCGGTACATTTCCAAATCAATTTGGCTATAATTTCATATTTTGTAATCGCGTTAATTGAAAAATCTCCCTACCAAAAATTATCAATATCGGCCTACATTTAGGTACACCTCCCGTATAACGATATCTTCCGATTTGCGGAATTTCGAGGATTTTCTGTAGGTTTTCCAAATAAAATTGGCTATAATTTCATATTTTGGAATTTCGATGGTTGAAAAATCTCCCTACCAAAAATTATCAATATCAATACCATATAACGATATCTTCCGATTTGCGGAATTCGGCAATTTTGAGCACATTTTTTAAAACAATGTAGCTATAATTTCATATTTGTGTAATCTCATCGGTAAACAAATCTCCCTAGCAAAAATCATTAATATGGATCTACTTTAAGATAGAGCCCACATATTACAGCTCCTCCAATTCGTGGCAATTTCGTCAAGTTTTCCCCACCAAATAAGCTGTAATTGTAAATTATGGGTTCTCATAAAACGCTACAGCCGATTTCCAAAAACTTTGACATATTTTTCAAGCGATTTGACTATAATTTAGAAATAGAAATATAATATATGAAATTCTAGAGGGCATCTGTACCATAGAAGGCCTCTGAAGAGGTCATCTATACCATAAAATGCCTACGAAGAGGACTTCTATACCATAGAAGGCCTACGAAGAGGTCTTCTATACCATGGAAGGCCTCCGAGGAGGTCCTCTAAGGTCACATTCTGCCAGTTTTAATTTTTTTGTATTTTCTTCCCTCCCCCAATATGTTTGTCTCAGCCCAGCGTCACATGTGTTTCGCTCATTTTTATTGTTCTTTCTCATTTCCGAATTTTTTAAACTTCTTTAAACAAAATCCCAGATTTTTTTTTCTTAAAATTGACATCCCTATCTTTTTTGCAACCCATATGCCGCCAAGTGTTTCCCATTTTTAACGGCGTCACATATGTTTCGTTTTTTTCTTCTTTTTCGCCTTACCTTTGCGTCTTTCTGGGCCACTGAAAAACCACCAATTCCACAACAAAACCAATAACCAACGACTGCAGGAACAGAGGCAGCAGCAGATTTAGAAAATGCAATTTTTATTGCTTTCCTTTGTTACGCACACACACTGATATAATTAAATGAATTTTGGATTATAATGCACTAGAATTTTCGATACACTTTAATATTTTGCCGTGTTTTAATTAGAAATTATTTTTGTATTTTATTTTATATTTTTTAATATTTATTTTTTCTCTCGTTTTCCGTACACATTAATTTGTTCGTGAGCTTGACAACCGAGCCGCACAGCAACTGTGACAAGTAACGGCGTTATTTCCAAGCACACCCCAACAGACAACAATGGGCAGTGTTGCCAAAACAGCTGTTTTCTCTGTTGAAAAGGGAGAAGAGAAATAAACAACTGTGACAAGTAACGGCGTCATTTCACCCCGCAGTCAACTGTGCGGCTGTCGTCAGCTGTTTTCTTTGGGGAATGAAAGGCTAATGGAGAACAGAAATAAATAAATTAACAGAAAGAGAGAATTAATGGTTACTTGATGTTGACATTTTTCGTTCTCTCTCTCCCTCCTTTTTTCTTATTACAATTGTCGATTGAAACGTAGTTATTTATTTGTTTAACACAAAACGTCATTTTCTGTGAGTGTTCTAGGGATCCCTAGTCCGTTTATTGTGCATTTGGCTGTTATCACCAAACAGTTATCGAAATAAATCGATTAGTCACAAATCGCCCTGGTTAACCCTAATAGAAAGCAAAAAGAAAGTATTAGAAGTGTTAGAAGAAGAGCGAGCAAGCAAACAAGCAATTAATTAAAACAAAGAAGCTTTACGGACATACATACATATATATTCTATATATTTTCTTCGCAGACAATCCACTAATTCTTTCCATTTAATAGAAAATATTATAAATATATTAATTAATTAAATAGAAAACATGCAAAGTGTTTTAAATACCGTTAAGGGGACCGCTCTCAATGTTGCCGAATATCTGACACCAGTTTTAAAGGTAACAAAAAATTGTAGACCAAAAAGAAAATGCATCGGGGAGGGGGTGGTTGGCTGGCTTGATTGGCCACAATTACTAACTTGGCCAGAGGACACTCCAATCAACCCACCCAGCAGCGATGAGTCATAAGCAACTTTGTTTTTTTAACTCCAATGTTTTTCTTTTCTTCCTCCTTAACTAGGAATCGAAATTCCGTGAAACCGGAGTCTTAACACCCGAAGAATTTGTAGCAGCCGGTGATCATTTGGTCCATCATTGTCCAACATGGCAATGGGCGGCCGGTGATGAGAATAAAACAAAATCATATTTACCTAAAGGTTGGTCCCCAACAACTTTTTTTTGGATTTTGTTGTTGTATTGTTGTTTTTGTTTGCAGATAAACAATTCTTGATTACCCGCAATGTACCCTGCTATCGCCGTTGCAAACAAATGGAATATGTTGGCGAAGAAACGGTTGTTGAGGAAGAGGGAGGTGATGGTGGCTGGGTGGAAACGCATCAAATGAATGAAGATGGCACCAAAGCGGAATTAGATGAAAAAATCTGTGAATTGACACTGGATGATAGGGTATGAACGGAACCTTTGAAAGGCTTCCTAAGAGAGGTGGTTTATCAATCAGAAGAAATTCTCTATCCCTTAGAAGACCGTAGAAGGTCTCCGAATAGGCCTACGAAAAGGTTCTTTATTCCATAGAATTCCTCTGAAGAGGTCATCTATGCCATAAAAGGCCTCCGAAGAGATTATCTATCCAATAGAAGGCCTCCGAATAGGTCTTATATCCCATAGAACCCTCCAAAGGGGTCTTCTATACCATAGAAGGGCTCCAAAGAGGTCCTCTATTAAATAGAAAGCCTCCGAATAGGTCTTATATTCCATTGAAGGCCTCTGAAGAGGTCTTCTATACCATAGAAGGCCGCGAAGAGCTCTTCTATACCATACAAGGCCTTCGAAGATGTTTTCTTTAACATAGAAGGCTTCCGAAAAGGTTGTCTATTGAATAGAAGACTTCCAAAGGGGTCTTCTATACCATAGAAGGGCTCCAAAGAGGTCCTCTATTAAATAGAAAGCCTCCGAATAGGTCTTATATTCCATTGAAGGCCTCTGAAGAGGTCTTTGAAGGCCGCGATCTATACCATAGAAGGCCTTCGAAGAGGTTTTTTTAACATAGGAGGCTTCCGAAAAGGTTGTCTATTGAATAGAAGACTTCCAAAGAGTTCCCATATCCAATAGAAGACCACCGAATCTGTCTTCGATACCATAGAAGGCCGCCGCAGAGGTCCTCTATTCCATAGGAGGCCTCTGAAGAGGTCATCTATACGATAGAAGCCCTATGAAGAGGTGCTCTATCATAGAAAAATTTTTGATTTTCTATAAAAAACAATTGATTTTTTATAGAAAAAATCTATTTTTTCTATAGCAGCAAATATTCGGTTCGAAAAAAAAAATACTTTCCAAAAATATTTCTCAAAAAATTTGCAGAAGTATCCTGATTGCAGTAGTAGAATGAATTATAAATATCAATACGGTACAGAGAGTCCTCGTCACTAGAACATATGGGAAATTTATATTTAGACCGATCCGTTCCGAAATATTCATCTAAAAATCAACATAACATTACCCTCAAATTTCTGTATTCTGAGAATTTTTGGTACATTTTTTTACCGAATTGTCTCTAGTTTCATATTTTGAATTCTCATTGGCTAACAAATCCTGCTACCAAAAATTATCAACATCCGGTCCACGTTTTGATATAGCTCCCATATAAGGGTACCCCGAAATTTTCGATATTTTGCGAATATCAAACCAGTTTTTTTTAATATTTTGAGTTCTAATTGGGTGACAAAATTTCCTACGAAAAATGATGAATATCGGTCCATGTTTTGCTATAGGTCCCATATAATTTTAACCTGAAAATTCTATATTCTGTGGATTTTGGGCACGTTTTTCAACCGAATTGTTTCAAATTTGATATTTTGTGTTCGCATGGGGTGATAAATCTTCCTACCAAAAATTATCCATATTGATCCACGTTTTGGTGTAGGTCCCATATAAAGTTACCCTAAAATTTCGGTATTTTGAGGATTTTGGACACGTTTTTCAATCGAATAAGTTGCAGTTTGTTATTTTGGGTTCTCATTGGGTGACAAATCTCCTTACCAAAAATTATCAATATCGGTCCACGTTTTGGTATAAGTCCCATACTAGGTCACCCTAAATATTCGATATTTTAGGGATTTTGGGCATATTTTCCAACCGAATTGTTTCAAATTTGCTATTTTGCGTTCGCATAAGGTGTCAAATCTCGCTACCAAAAATTATCCATATAGGTCCACGTTTTGGTCTAGGTCCCATATAAAGTTATCGATATTCTAGGGATTTTATTTAACTTTTCTATATTGAAAAAAAAAAAATCGATTTTTCTTCTAGGACGAAATGCAAACCCCCGACAATGAACAACCCGGCAATATGGACGATATTGATGGCAATGGGGCAGAGGCTGACGACGACGATGATGACGAAGCTTTAGATATGGATGAGTTTGAGGAAAGCGGCATGCTGGATCTAGTAGATCCCGCAGTGGCCACTGTACGCAAAGCTGAAAAACCTGAAGCCGCCAATAGCAGTGAGGCTGGCGCTGCGGCCTCGATTGACACGCAAGATTCGGTGCTGCATACCCGTACCTATGATCTGCACATAACCTATGATAAATATTATCAGACACCACGTCTATGGGTGGTGGGCTATGATGAGGTAAGGGGAGATATTTAAAAAAAAAAAAAAAAAATTATGGCGTTTGATTAAATTTTCTCTCTCTCTCTCTTTAGAATCGTAAACCCCTAACCGTTGAACAAATGTACGAAGATGTCTCACAGGATCATGCCAAAAAGACTGTCACCATGGAATCCCATCCACATTTGCCGGGGCCAAATATGGCCTCGGTGCATCCTTGTCGTCATGCCGATATCATGAAGAAAATCATCCAAACCGTTGAGGAGGGTGGCGGCGAATTGGGTGTGCATTTATATTTGATAATTTTCTTGAAATTTGTACAAACGGTTATACCAACCATTGAATATGATTTTACACAAAATTTCAATTTGTCTTAAGGAGGGGAAGTGAACCAATCAAGCAACCACAACCCAACTACCACCCAACCATTCTCATCCTTAAAAATCCTTCTTCATCATGATATTAGCTAGTTGTGGCTTTAAATTTAATTTTTTTTTTTTACCAAGCATACATTTTGCCATATAAATAATAGATTTTATTTTTTGTAAAAAAAAACAAAAGCTTTGTATAGATTTTTTTATTTTTGTTGTAACGTAAATTATTTTTATTTTATCATTTTTTTAAATATACATAAAATTTTCTAATTCATAATTTATTTGTAATTATGAGCTTCATTATATTGATGTGTGTATGTAATGTATTTATGCTTTAAGAAATAAACTATTTCTAGATAATAATCTGATCTGGTGGCTTTTGTTTGGGGTGTAAATGGGAGTTGACCTTTATATGGAGGCTATACCCGAAACCTTGGCTGATATTTATAATTTTTGCGAACTCAAAATATCGAATTATAGCTGATTCGCTTGAAAAACGTCCCAAAAATCCTCAAAATATCGAAAAATGTGGTAACTTTATATGGAAGCTATACCAAAACGTGGACCGATATTGATCATTTTTGTTAGGGAGATTTGTTAGCTACTGAAAAGACAAAATATCAAATTATAGCCAATTCGGATAAATATCGTGCCCAAATTACCGAATATTGGAGGTAATGTTATATGGGACCTATAACAAAATGTGGACCAATATTCATAATTTTTGGTAGGAAGATTTGTTACTTAATGCGAACTCAAAACATCGAATTATAGCTAATTCGGTTGAAAAACATCCCCAAAATACTCAAAGTATCGAAAATTAAGGGTAACTTTATATGGGGCCTATACCGAAAGGTGAACCAATATTGATAGTTTTTGGTAGGAAGATTTGTTACCCAATGAGAACCCAATATAACAAATTACAACGTATTCGGTTTAAAAACGTGCCCAATATCCTCAAAATATCGAAATTTGAGGGTAATTTTATATGGGACCATGACTAAAACGTGGACCGATAAGGCTAATTTTTGGTAGGAAGATTTATTACCCAATGCGAAACCAAAATATCAAATTTGAAACAATTCGGTTGGAAAATGTGCCCAAAATCCCTAAAATATCGAATATTGAGGGTATCCTTAAATTGGGCTTATACCAAAACGTGGACCAATATTCATAATTTTTGGTATGAAGATTTGTTACTTAATGCGAACGAAATTTCGAAATATAGCTAATTCGGTTAAAAAACGTGCTCAAAATCCTCAAAAAACGAAATTTTAGGTTAACATTACATGGGGTATATAACAAATCGTGGACCGATATTGCTAATTTTTAGTAGAGACATGTTTCACCTAATGAGAACCCAAAATATTGGTTTATGGTCTATTCGGTTCAAATACGTGCCCAAAATCCTCAAAATATCGAAAACTGAAGGTAACTTTATATGGGGCCTTGACCAAAACGTGGACCGATATGGATAATTTTTGGTAGCAAGATTTTTCACTTAATGCGAACGTAAAATATCAAATTTGAAACAATTAAGTTGAAAAATGTGCCCAAAGTCCTTCAAATATCGAATATTGAGGGTGCCTTTATATGGAAGCAATAGCAGAACGTGGACCGGTATTGCTAATTTTGAAGGGAGGTTTGTCACCCAATGAGAACCCAAAATAACAAATTACAACTTATTCGGCTTAAAAAAGTGCCCAATATCCTCAAAATATCGAAATTTGAGGGTAACTTTACATGGGGCCTATACCGTAACGTGGACCAAAATTCATCATTTTTGGTAGGGAGTTTTGTCATCCAATGAGAACCCAATATAACAAAATACAACTTATTTGGTTGAAAAACGTGCCCAAAATCCTGAAAATATCTAAAAATGAGGGTAACTTTATATGGAAGCTATACCAAACCGTGGACCAATATTCATAATTTTTGGAATGAACATTTGCCATCTAATGTGATCGTAAAATATCAAATTGCAGAATAATCGGTTGAAAAACATGTCTCAAATCCCAAAAAAAATGGAATATTTAGGGTGACTTTATATGGATGCTAAATCAGAACGTGGACCGGTATTGTTAATTTTTGGTAAGGAGATTTGTCACCCAATGAGAACCCAATATAACAAATTACAACTTATTCGGCTGAAAAACGTGCCCAATATCCTCAAAATATCGAAAATTTGAGGGTACCCTTATATGGGAGCTATAACAAAACGTGGCCTGATATGGATAATTTTTGGTAGAAAGATTTGACACCTTGTGCGAACGCAAAATATCAAACTAGAGACAATTCCTTTGAAAATCGTGAACAAAATCCACAGAATGCCGAAATTTGAGGGTACAGTTATATAGAGACTATACCAAAAAATGAGCCGAAGTTGATAATTTTTGGTAGGAAGAATTAACACCTAAAGAGAATCCAGAATATGAAATTACAGCCAATTCGGTTGACAAACAGGTGTGAAATCCTTAAAATATCGAAAATTCGAGCTTATACCAAAACGTGGACCGATATTGATAATTTTTGGTAAGGAGATTGGTCACCTTAGGCTAGCGCAAAATATCGAACTAGACACAATTCGGTTGAAAACGTGCTCAAAATCCTCAGAATGGGGCCTATACCAAAATATGGACCGATAGTAATTATTTTTGTTTAGAAGATTTAACACCCAAAGATAATCCAGAATATCAAATTATAGCCAATTTGGTTGAAAAACTTGCTTCGAAAAATATCGAAAAATTAGGGGTACCCTCGTATGGGACCTACACCAAAATGAGGATCAATGATCCACATTCCATGTTTGTCCTAACTATAAATTTCCCATATGGTCTAGTGACGAGGACTCTGTGCATCGTATTGATATTTATAATTCATTTTACTACTGCAATCAGGACACCTCTGCAAATTTTTTCAGAATTATTTTTGGAAAATCATTTTCGTTCGATCAAAAAAAAAAAAATGCTGTTGAATATTTTTCCAGTTTTTTATAGTGATAGTGCTTTTTAATACTTGACCCCTGTAAACTTCTTGTCGTAACATCAACAAATAATTGCGCCAAAAAATTTACGTCTATCTCCAAAATTTAAATTCAAATCCAAATGTGTGTGTGTTCCGACGTGCGTCCGTGTCCGCTTATTACGAAATACCGCAAAGTTCTGCACTGCATTGGCCGCCAGTGCCAGACTCATAACAAACACAAACTCTGGACACACATGTGAAAATAGTAGTAGTTCTCCCAAATGCTCCCAAAAAAAATACGCTCGTGACAATGCTGCTTTAGGAGGTGACTGAAAAGGTTTGCCTGCCAGCTCACGATGACAACAGCAGAAAACAAATTCTCATTTCAATGTTATTTAGAGTAGAGGTTTTCAAATGGAAATTGCATCTCAATCTCTTCTAAAAAAAAAATGGGAGGAAAAAATACGACCACCACCATTGTTGTCCGCTCAATATCTTAAAAATTTCTAAAATGTCAAAACTCTTCGGTGGCGGCAGGCCAAGCGGGATTCTCACACACACACCAATGTGTGCTTAGGTAAATTTACAGTTCTTTTCCCTTATCAAACGTCGAGAACGAACAACAACAAAAAACAACTGCAGGGGTCATCTACAAACATTCTCTTCCTCATAATGAGATACGACCAAGCCGAACTGTTTTGGCAGAGAGGTAGCGAGAGAGAGAGGTAGAGGGTAACTGACAAAGAGTTTTCTATTGAGATGAGAACAACAAAAAAAGAAAACGGAGAAAAAGGAAGGAGGAGGATAGAGTTCGTAATGTTCATTTAATAGTAATGCGGAAAGCCACAGATCCGCACAACTAGAAGCATGTGTTGCCGAACCAGCAGACTATAATAATTGATGTTTTTCTTGTTCTGGAAATGTTTTTGTCTAGGTCCCAAGAAATACAGCCGATGTGTTTAAAGCTTTCGAAAACCATTAAATGTGTCGGAACTGTTATAGGGGGGCCTTGTCAAAACAAGGGGACCTATTTTAGAAACTATCTTTTCAGTTGATCTTTTCTCCCCTAAGAAACCGAGATGGCAAATTTCAGTTGGAAAATTTGTCCAGGACCTTGAAAATCCTTCAAAAGTGCCGGACATATAATCATGGATATGTGTTTTGTTTGAAGAATCCGATTGTTTAAATATAACAGATGCTCAGTAGGGGGTAATTTAGGTCATCATTGAGTGACAAAAGTTCGTAGCAACAAAAATTATTAACAACATAAATGTAAAAAAATCAGGTTTTCCCATATGCTCTAGTGACGAGGACATCTGATATTGGTTTTTAATTATGTATAGGTTAGGTTAAAGAATGTCCACGCACCAGGTTTTTAACAGTTGATTTTACTCGGCTACCCTTGGTCCATTGTGTTCATGCTGAATACCTGAAAAGGTAACAAAAATTGGGAGGAGTGATTAGATGTTATAGCTTACCCATTATAAGTATTTTTATGGAATTGATTCCGCAGAAGAATTTCAGAGAATTGCTCCATTATATCCACCAAACAGCCGATGCTATTTGTTACTTGAAACTTAACCAGGGGTTTAGGATTCGCGTTCGGGTTTTTGGCACGTTCTTTCAACCGAACTTATTTGAATTTGATATTGGGGTCGAGTAGTGACCAATGACTTTCACTGATCCTACCATCAGGGTCAGCTTTGTCAATGACGGTTACTCTCTGGTCCTGTGGAACAATCCGTCGATATGTCGATTCTTTAGCAGCAGTTTTTAAAGGTTGCTTTCCACTAGGTCCCACTTTTGTCTTCGCTTCTGTTTAAGCTACTAAAGCCGCCATTGGAGCAGATTCTTAAGCAGGCTTGTCAATAGGTCCGATTTTCGTCTTCCCGATGACAGCCTTCCCACTATCCCTCCAGACATCTACGGCTGGTTGCGATTTCTCCGTCAATCTCATCCTCTTCATTGCTATTGGCAATCATCCCACGCGCGTTAAGATAATGATCTTAAGATGATGGTCGAGTAGTGACCAATGACTT